AGAACCACAAAAAAAAAAAAAAAAAAAAAAAAAAAAAAAAAAAAAAAAAAACATAAAAGAGGAAAACAAAATACAGAAAGACACAGTTCCTATGTCAGCTCCATTTTGCTGTATAACAAACCACCAAAAAAATACTAAACGTTTACTGTTCCTCATGAATCTCCTCCACATCAGTTTGTTAGCCCTCTTGACCTGGTCCAGCTCCTCTGAGGCTGGATGGCCCAGGATGGCTGGCTCACAGAGGTGAATGGCAGGCTGATCAGCCAGCAGCCTCGGGCGGGGCTTGCTCATCTCTACTCCTGTGATCTGCTCTCCTCCAGCCAGCCAGTCCAGATGGGATCACATGGTGGTGTGGCAGGGATCCCAGATGGGCAAGAGGGCAAACCCCGGTGTGCGTGTATTGTTTTAAGGTTGCTGGCATCACATTTGTTCATATCCTATTAGCCAAGAAAGTGAACCAGAGGCGAAGCTAAAAAGGGATGAGTAATCTCTCTCTTCAGTACTAAGGATTAAGCCCAGGGCCTGTCACTGAGCTACATTCTCAGCTCTTTTTATTTTTTTTTATTTGGCGACATTCTTGCTAAGTCATTAGGTTGCCCACATTGGGTTTGAATTTGTGATACTCTTGCCTCGGCCTCCCAGAGTGCTGGGATTAAAGGCATGCACCACTATGCCTGGTCTTTTATTTTTGGTTGTTGCTGTTGTTTCAAGACAGGATCTCATTATATAGCCCAAGATGACCTTGAACTTAGGATACAGCCCAGCCTATCCTGAACTTTCAGTCCTTCTGCCTCAGCCTGCCAGAGTGCTAGGATTATAGGCATGCACCGTACCTGGTTTAGATTTTCCTTCTTGATGAGAAGAATGGCGCAGACTAGTGAGGACCGACCAGCTGCTCGGGAAGCTCACTGCTCCCCCACCTCCAGTGCTCCGGAGCCTTCGTCAGAGCAGACAGGTGAGCACTGCCCAGCTGCACACGTGCCTCTGCAGCATTCCTCCCCCACGCCCTGCTCTCACGCCTCCTGGTTTTGCCAGTACCTGGATCCACACTGCAGAGGCACAGGTGGTCATAAAGGCCATTTTACTGAGCTCCAGAAGATAGAATGGAAGTGAACAACTGCAGTAAAGGCACATCAGACCTCCATAGTTGGTAAGTTGGAGGGATCCCCACCTTCCATCAGAACCTGGACTATCTTTAGGGGAAGGGCAGCTGGAACCTGCAGTAGAACCTTGCAGAGTTCAACCCTGTAGGAGGTCAGGGAGCTCAACTTGGGTCTTGGCAGCCAGAATTCAGCCTGAATCTCAGGGGTCTGCCATTGGCTAGCTGAGACTAACTGACTTCTGCACATTGCTGCCCATGTTGTCTGTTGTGAAAGCAGAGACATACCTTGAAAGAGGCTCTTCTGATGTTTTCCTTTCTATTCCTCTTATTTTTAATTTTTATTTTTAAAATTTTACTTTTTCCCACTCAGTCCCCTGCTCCCTCACATTAATCTTCATCTCCCTTTTTGAACCTTTTCCTGCCCTAATTCAGATTTCTTCTTTCTTTTTCCTTTACTTGATTGTCATTAGTTTCAAAGGAAAGTGAGTGTAATTCATAGCTTCCCTATTACTGTTAAGTTGTTCTATTCTTAGCTTTGTTCTTGTCTTTCCCTCTTGTTTTCAACAGTTTCCTAGTTTGCGTGATTATCCTGTGTCCTCTGGCTTCACTTGAAACCTTCTCCTATTCTTTTACCTATCTATTCCTCTCCTCCCAACTCTTCCTAAGTCCCCATCCTGAAGGGTAAAGTTGCTCTATTGAAGAGTTTATTCACTCTAAACATATTTTGGTCTGCTCCTTGATTTTGATTTAATTCACATGGTTAAAGGTAATAGATTAATAACTACCACAAATGGTCAATTTCCAAGCTGTGTTTGATGCTATTGTGTTGCTGATTGTTATCAGTTGGGCTAAAGGGTTGTGATTGATTTAATGAGTTGTCCTTTCTGATATTATGAAAATGAGAGTGTTTGAGTCATTAGAGACTCAAAATCTAAAGACAAACTATATTAGGAAGATTGAAGTACTAAACTAGGAGCCAGGCTTGGCGGCACATGCCTGTAATCCCAGCATTCAGGAGGTTGAGGCAGGAGGATTGCTGTGAGTTCAAGACCAGCCTAGGCCACATAGTGAGCTCCATCCAGGTCAGTCTCAACTACATATTGAGACCCTGTCTCAAAAAACCAAAAAAAAAAAGTATGAACCCAGGAATTAAACCAAGGACAGCCCAACAACAAAAATAAACATAAGAAAACACTTAAGCAAGGCACAAATACAGACTCCCAGTTCACCAACGGCAAGTTCTAGGGAGAACGAGGTGGAAAAATCTGGCAATCAACCACCAGGACACCCTGAACTCATAGCAGAAGAAGTAACAAAACAGATCAGTCAGGCTCTAGAAAATTCAAAACAAAAATAATTTCCCAGATAACCATAGAGATGGTGAGCAAAATGGAAGTCGAGATTCAAGACTCTAGAGCAGAAACTGACAAAAAAATAGATGAGCTCAGGACCATGATAGAAGCCATGATTGCCCATCATAGGAAAGAAATGGAATCCATGAAACAGATTCAAACAGATATCTAGGAGATTAAAAACTCTATAGGAAGGGCTGGGAATTTGGCTCAGTGGTTCCACAGCCTGCCCAAGGGCAAGGACCCAAGTTTGATCCCCGGTACCAAAAACAAAAAAAAACAAAAAAAACCCAAACCACTCTACAGGGAATATCGAAGTAGAATGAACGATTGTGAAGTGTGGAGATAGAATTTCAGATATAGAAGATAGGATTGCAGTCAGTGGCCAGGAAAAGAGAGATCTCTTAAAAACAGTAAGAGATCATGACAAATCAATCCAACAACTTCTAGATGATGCAAAGAAGAATAATATAAGACTGATAGGAATCCATGAAATAGCAGGAGAAAGTACAAATGACTTAAAAAAACTGCTCACAGAATTAATGACAGAGGGCTGGGGATTTGGCTCAGTGGTTCTGCCACCTGCCTTGCAAGTGCAAGGACCTGAGTTCAATCCCCAGTACCAAAAAGAAAAAAAAAAAATTGATGACAGAAAATTTCCCAAACAAAGGGGAAGAATTTAATATACAGAGAAGTGAGGCATATAGGACTCCAGTTGGCCATGATCAAAAAAAGTCTACACCTAGACATATAATACTCAAGATCCTAGAAACCCAACAGAAGAACAAAATACTGAAAGCAGAGAAAAGAAACAAATTGCATGCAAAGTAAAGCATGAATCAGAATCACATCAGAAACACAGCAGACTTCTCAACACAAACTCTCAGATCAAGAAGAACCTGGAGTGAGGTATTTCAAGCCCTAAGAGAAAACAACTTCCAACCAAGACTGATGTATCCTGCAAAACTCTCTTTTAAAATGTATGGGGATGGGCTGGGGATTTAGCTCAGTGGTTTGGTGGCCTGTCTTGCAAGCGCAAAGACCTGAGTTCAATCCCTGGTACCAAAAAATAAATAAAAAATAAAATAAAATGTATGGGGAAATAAGATGCTTCCATACATAGAACACCCAAGAAACTTCATGAATATCAAACCAGCACTACAAACAATTCTAAACAATATCCTAAAAAAAGACAACGAAGGTCACAACACCATGGGGCCCAACAGACCAAATAAAATGGGCAAGTCAAGAAACTAAAGGGAGAGGGGAAAAAAATTAAAAAGAGCCAACAACAGGACAATAACATCACAATGATAAGTCAATACATATCAGTTATAACCATCAATGTCAATGGCCTCAATTCACCAATCAAAAAAAAAAAAA